TGTCACAAGTCCCCAAACACAAAGCATGGGAAATTTACACACACAACCTATCCATAATTTTTCTAAAACATGGAACCTGTCTGGGAAAAAAAGACAGGATGTTTCCAGGATGAGATGATCCTGGAAATTATGGTTGGTACTCCATTCTGTATTACTTAAAGTTATGTCAAAAACCTGAATTTAAAGCCAATCTGTGTCTTCAGTAGGTTCATCTGAAGACACAGGAAAGAACAATCCTGTCACAGAAAGCCATCCAAGGGAACTGTTCAACATTGTGGTAAGGATGCAGAAGGGTAGCCCTCCTCAGGGGATGGCTCCTGGTGGGGGAAGGGGTGCAGGAGGGAAAGGACTCCTGTTTCTTTAAGAGGCTGGCCACCTGAAGTTTGATCATGTTCCAGTGAGTGTATTGGCCACACAAACTGAATTTTTTTTTTTTTTTTTTTTTTGGTTGGTGGGACTTGGAGAGGTTGACCTGTGTGAACTGGGAAGTGAGTGTGCTCAGGGTTCAATGATGTGAAATTGCCCAATAATCAATAAAAATATTGCAAATTTAAAAAGTAGTTTTAAATAATATACATCCAGAAAAAACACCTTTAGAAACTTAAGTAAGTAAATAAATAAACAAATCAATAAATAAATGACTGTCCCATCTTGGGTCTACCCTCTCTATTTCAGGAGCCCTGGCCCTTTGGATCAAAGTGACTTACCTGTTCTGAGCACTGATGAGCACAGGGTCTCTGGATCCCAGCAGAGCCAGGCTGTCACCACAGTGTTCACGTCCCTGAGAAAATGACTCTTCTGTCTCCCCTGAAGCCTTTATATACCACCCTGCTCAGCCCCTCCCTATTGCAGCCCCACCTACCAACCACAAGCTGCCATCTGCTTGCATATTTGAGTCCAGACACTTAATCCCACCTTGGCTTCTCCCATTCTCTATATTGAATCAAGCATTCTGTATCAATGCAAACACAACCAAAACAGAATAAGATGAAAATCATGAGTCCGTTTACTGACTAGTTCCCTCACCTTGAACTTTATAGTTTGTTTGCTTATTGATTTACTCTTGTTGTTCTTGGTTTTGGATTGTGTTCTGACAACATTGTTCTGTAGGTAAGGTTAATTTAGAATTCCAATTCACATGGACCATCCTGCCTAAGCCTTCCTGCAGGGAGGATTACTATGTGAGCCAAATCTCCTGACTGTGATTATACATTTGTAACCAGCATGGTTCAGAGTAGGATGCTGTAGGGTGTAGGGTTCACTTACTCCTGAAAATATACATTTATTTGTCTACTCTGGAACCAAGAGCTGAACTTCATGCTTTTCCACTCTTCTTGTTTGGTAGCTACTCAGAGGCTGAGGCAGGAGGATGGCTTACATCCATTAATAATGTTATTACTTCAGGAATAACACACAGTAGCCATTGCAACACCAGACTCAGATTAATGAAAGTTTGTTGAATAATGAACAAGATTCTAACCTGAACAAGGGCTATAATCCAGGCTCCAGAGCCACACTATGATGTCACTCTCTCTCTCTTAGGCAGCCATTTCATTTAGGAAAAGAAAAAAAAAAAGGAACCAGGTAATCAGGTGGAAGAAGCAAGTGGTGCATAGCATTACATTATTTTGAGCTGTGAAAACTAATCTGCTTTGTTCCAAGTGTATCTAGGAGGGTAGACAAATCACTTTTAGCTAATTGGCTGTGATTTAGTATAGCTCTCGAGGGTTTTTCAGTTTTCTGGGAGTAAGAAACATACCAAGCTGTTGTGACCTTTAACACAAGGAGAACATGCATTTGTCATTTATTGTTTGATTCTAAGCAGCAAGTAGGAACTACTGGATTGTTTTCTGGTGTCAGGCATGGAGGGCCTGAGAACTTGGTCTTAATTTCACCTTACAATCAAAATGGAGACTTGAAGACAACATGGCTTCTGATATGCTAACGGTGACAGCAAGTGTTAGCAGAGGAGACACAGTCATGCTAACAATGAAAGTAGGTTTCTAGAGAGGGGTTTTCGAGTTTAAGCAGGTCATAACCATATTTGACAGGGCTTTCTGTAGCTGGAACTCAGGTAGTGCCATCCTTGCTTGGCATTCACAAAACCATAGGTGACATTGAGACACGATCTAGACTTGTTGGAACATGCCTGTCTTCCCAGAATGTGAGAGTTTGGGTAGAAAAGGGCTCAGAAGGTCAGTGTCATCTTTGGCTACAAGAGGAAGTTTGAAGCAGCCTGGATTGGACTATGCTTTCTCACAACATTGCACAAGTGTAGCAGGGAGGGAAATGCCACAGGATGTTTTCAGGAAGTTGGGTGTGATTTCAGAAAGGGAGGATCACTGGACATGGAGAGATGCTCAGTGGTTAGGGGAACACCCTGCTATTGCAGAATGCCCAAGTTCAGTGCCCAGCACATATGGTGGTAACTTGAAATGTCTATAACAACTTGAGTGTTGACCTTTCCTGGATTTAATGGGCACAAATACATTCATGTGAACAGGCACACAAGCACACACACACACAACACAAATGGTGAGAGAAAGATGAGGATAGAAAGAGGAGATCTTGACACACTCTGTACTAATTGGATATCTGTGTCACATCCTCTCCTCAGGGATCAGGGAACCCTGTGGAAGACGAGGAAGAAAGACTGTGAGAACCAGATGGAATGGAAGACACCAAGGAAACCAGGCCTTCTTGAACCCACCAGAAGAATGCACATATGAACCCAGAGAGACTGAGGCAGCAAGCACAGGGCCTGCATGGGTCTGTACCACATGGGGCGTCAGTGTGGACAGGAGTGGACAGAAGCTCCCATCCCTAACCCAGAAGCTAGAGACAAGTTATTGAAAATGGGAATTGAGTTCCTTCAAGTGGAGTCTCCCCAAGGATGCAAACCCCACTCTGATCAACAGGCCCAGTGACCAACTATTGATGCCTACACAAAACAAACTCAGTGGCATCTTTGGAGGTTGTTGGTCTCATAATGTTTTATCAGAATTTTTCTCTACTTTTTATATTATAGGAAACTTTTCCTGAATATTATGTCTGTGGGGGTTTTCTGTTGTTGTTGTTGTTTTATTTTTATTTCTTTATTTCTTTATTTATTTTTGTTTTTGAGTAAGGAGCAGAAAGGGGAAGAAGAGTGAGAAGAAAGAATAGATAGGAGCATGGCAGGGTGGCCTCCTTAGAAAGAAATATCAGAGATGAAAGAATGGGAAAGAAACTGAAGCAGAGAAAGCCAATTTTGAGTTATTTGGGGATTCGTGTGGTTTGTGTCTGTGTGAGAGTGTGTGTGTGTGTGTGTGTGTGTGTGTGTGTGTGTGAGAGAGAGAGAGAGAGTGCGTGTGTGTGTGTACCTGTGTGTGTGTAAGTGTACGTGTGTGTGTGTGTGTGTGTGTGTGTAAGTGTCCTGTACCTACTTGTATGTGACTCATGCTTTTTTGTTTTCTTTGTTTTTCAAGAAAGGGCTGCTTTTGGATAGCCTTGGCTGTCCTGGACTCAGGCTGGCCTCAAACTCAGAGAGAACTGCATGCCTCTGCACCCCTGAGTGCTGGGATTACAAAAGAGTACCACCCCCTCGTGCTTTATCCTTGGATTTTTTCATCTATTGGTTTGTTCATATTCGCCTATTCTGAATTGTTTTTGTTTTATTTTCTTATATTTCTATTCCTGTTTGTGTGTTTGTGTGTTGGTTTTTCAAGACATGGTTTCTCTGTGTAACTCTAGCTGTCCTGGAACTCACTTTGTAGACCATCCTCCACTCAACTTACAGAGATCTCCTGACTCTGCCTCCTGACTGCTGGGATTAACAGTGTGTACCACCAAACCTGGTCTCTCTCTCTCTCTCTCCCCCTCTCTCTATTTTATGTATTTTGTATGTGAGTGCTCCTCTGTATGTACATCTGCATGATAGAAGAGGACATCAGATCACATTATACATGTGGTTGCTGGGAATTGAACCCAGGACCTCTGGAAGAACAAACAGTGCTCTTAACCACTGAGTCATCTCTCCAACCCCCTGGATCCTTCATCTTCTTAGGGAAAAGAAGAGAGTGTGGATTGGAATGAAAGAGAATGTAAGGATGGTCACAGAAGCGCTGGTGGACAAAAAGCCATAACCAGAATGTAGTGTACAAAAAACATATCTATTTTCAATAAATGAAGAGCGGTGAAAAAGGCCTGGAGCAATGACTAAGCTGTCCAGAGCACTGACAGCTCTTACAGAGGAGCCAGTTCCATTTCCCAGCATCCACATGGCAATTCTCAAATGACTGCAACCCCATTTTCTGAAGCTAAATTCTCACCTCCAGAAGACACATATAATACTCCATGGTGCACAGACAATAATTGTTTGTTTTGCCTTTTTTTGCTTTGTTTTGTTGTGTTTTGTTTTGAGACAGTGTTTCCTCTGTAGACCAAGCTATGCTCAGTCTCACAGATATCTGTCTACCTTTGCCTCTCCCAGTGCTGGGATTAAAGTCATGTACCATCATACCCAACTTAAAGCTGTTAAAAAGAAATAGTTTAAACATTACATAAATCTGTTTTTCAATTTTTGATATAACTTATTACCTTGTATTTTATGTGCATTGGTGTTTTGCCGGTATGTATGTCTCTGTGAAAGTGTTGGATCTCATGGAACTGGATCACACACAGTTGTGGGCTGTCTTCTATGTGCTGGGAAGTGAACCCAGGTCCTCTGGAAGAACAGCTAGTGCCCTTAAGTGCTGAGCCATCTCTCCACCCTCTAGTATGTAACTCTTAAGAAGAAAACCAGGAAGAACTAGCTTGGCACATTGTATAGACATGATGCCACCAAGAATGGGAGCTTGACAGGAAGAAGCTTCATACTACAAAAGGAGGCAGGAGGCTGGAGAGATGACTCAGTGGTTGAGAGCACTGAATGCTCTTGCAGAGGACCTGAGTTCAATTCACTGCACTCACAGGACAGCTCACAACTGTCTGTAACTCCTTTTCCAGAATCCAACACCTTCACTTAGACATACAAGCAGTCAAAACAGCAATCTCACAAAATAAAAATAAATAACTTCTTCTTAAAAAAAAAAAAAATGTTTTGGCTGGACCATCTTAACAAAAGCAAGCTACAGATTCAATGCAATTCCCATCAAATTACCAACACAGTTCTTTACAAACCTTGAAAGAAAAATTCTCAAATTCACATAGAAGAGCAAGAAACGCAGAATCACAAAAAAAAAAAAAAAGAAAAGAAAAGAGAAAAAACGTTCCTCTACAATAAAAGAGTGTCTGGAGGTAACTCTATCCATGATCCCAAGCTATACTGTAGAACAACAGTAATAAAAACTGCATGGTGCTGACAGAGAAAGACTGGAGGATCAATGGAATCGAATAGAAGGCTCAGAGACAAACCCACATACTTATGGACACCTGATTTTTGACAAAGATGCCAAAACCATGCAATGGAAAAAAGACAGCATCTTCAACACATGATACTGGCCTAACTGGATGTCTGGAGGTAGAAAAATAAAAATAGATCCATATATATCACCATGCATAAAACTAAAGTTGAAGTGGATCAAAGACTTCAACATAAAATCAGACACACTAAATCAGTTAGAAGAAAAGTGGGAAAGAGCCTAGAACTCATTGGCACAGGAGACAACTCCCTGAACAGAACACAAACAGCACAGGCTCTAAGAACAACGATCAATAAATGGGATATCATGATATTGAAAAGCTGCTGAAAAGCAAAGGATACTGTCATCATAACAAAATGACAGCCTACAGATTGGGAAAAGATCTTCACCAACCTTATGTCTGACAGAGGGCTAATATCCAGAATATATAAAGAACTCAAGAAGTTAAACAGCAACCAATCAAGTAATCCAATTATGAAATGGGTACAGAGCTAAACAGAGAATTCTCAATAGAGGAATACCGCATGGCAGAGAAACACTTAAAGAAATGCTCGACATCCTTAGTCTTCAGGGAAATGCAAATCAAAACAAGCCTGAGATTTCACCTTACACCCATCACAATAGTTAAGATGAAAAACTCAAGTGAAAACACATGTGGGAGAGGATATGGAGAAAGGGAAACCTTCCTCCATTGCTGGTGGAAATGTAAACTTGTACAACCACTTTGGAAATCAACCTGGTGCTTTCTCAAACAATTGGGAATAGTGCTTCCTCAAGATACAGCTATACTACTCTTAGGCATGTATCTGAAAAAAAAAATGCTCAAGTATACAACAAGGACATTGAGCTTTATTCATAATAGCCAGAATCTGGAAACAACCCCGATGCCCCTCAATTGAGGAATGGATACAGTAATTGTGGTACATTTGTACAATGTAATACTACCCAGAAATTAAAAAACAAGGAAATCAAGAAATTTGCAGGCATATGGTGGGAACTAGAAAAGATCATCCTGAGTGAGCTATCCCAGTAGCAGAAAGACACACATGGTATATACTCACTTATAACTGGATAACAGGCATAAAATATAGGATAACCATACTGAAATCTGTACACCTAAAGAAGCTAAGGAAGGAGTACCCTGCATAAGATGCTCAATCCTTATTCAGAAAGGCAAATGGGATAGACATTGGAAGAAGGTGCAAATAAGGAATGAGACAGGAACTTACCATAGACGGCCTCTCAAAGACTCTATCCAGCAGGGTATTAAAGAGATGCTGGGACTCATAGCCAAACACTGGGCAGAGTACAGAGAATTTTATGAAGGAAGTGGGGTATAGAAAGACCTGGAAGGGTCTGGAGCTCACAAGAATAACAGAACCAAAAAAATGTGGGCTCAGGGATCTTTTCTGAGACTTATATTCCAACCAAGGACCATTCATAGGGATAACCTAGAACCCCTGCACAATTGTAGCCCGTGGCAGCTCATTCTCCAAATGGGTACCCTAATAAGGGAAATAGGGGCTGTCTCTGACATAAACTCAGTGGCTGACTCTGTGATCACCTCTCCCCTAGGGCAGTGTACCGCCTTACCAGGCCACAGAGGAAGACCAGGAAAGACAATCCTGACGAGACCTGATAGGCTATGGTCAGATGGAAGGGAGAGTCCTCCCTTATCAGTGGACTGGAAAAGGAACATGGGAGGAGATGAGGGAAAGAGAGCAGACAGGATTGGGAGGGATGATGATAGGGGATACAGCTGGGATACGAACTGAATAAACTGTAATAAATAAAAAAATATATTAAAAAAAAGAAATTAAGCAAGAAGGAGGACCCTGGGAAAGATGATCAAGCCTCATTTAGAAAGGCTAATGGGACTGACATTGGAAGAGGGAAAAAAAAGGGAACAGGATAGGAGCCTACCACAAAAGGCCTACCACAGAGGGCCTCTAAAAGACATGTACCCAGCAGGGTATTAAAGAGATGCTGAGACTCATAGCCAAACTTTGGGCAGAGTGAAGGGAACCTTATGAAAGAAGCGGGAGATAGAAAGACCTGGAGGGGACTGGTACTCCACAAGAAGAACAACAGAACCAAAAAATCATAGCTCAGGGGTCTTCTGTGAGACTCCAACCACAGACCCTTCATGGAGATAATCTTAGAACCCCTGCACATATTTTTCCATGGCATTTCAGTCTTCAAATGGGCTTCCTAGTAAGGGGAACAAGGGCTGTCTCTGACATTAACTCAGTACCTGACTCTGTGACTACCTCCCCCGCAGGGCAGGGGGGCAACTGTACTAGACCACAGAGGAAGAAAATTCTGGAAGTCCTGATGAAACCTAATAGGCTAGGGTCAGATGGAAGGGGAGAAGGATGTCCCCTATCAGTGGTCGGGAGGGGATGGACAAGAGAGGAGAAGAGGCAGGGAGGGCAGGATTGTGAGAAGACAACGGGGAGGGAGGGCTACAGCTGGGATACAAAGTGAATCAATTGTAATAAATTAAAAAGTAAAATTGAAAAAGGGGAAATATACTTCCTATCATTCTGAGAAACCATGCATTGTTTATTGTTTGACTTTCTTCTATAAATTCTTAAGGTTAACTATGGTAATAATTTTGAAGGGCATCCCTGACTCTGAAATAATTACCAACACATCATACGTAAAACCACCTCAGAGTTCACTACCCACAATTCTTTTTCAACTATAAGGTTTAATAAATGTCTGTTGTCAACAACAACAACATAAAAAGCATGTTCTAGGTGTTCAATAAATAATTCAATGGAGAAGAAAACAATTCAGAAATAAATCATTTTATTGATATCTTACTATACAGAAAAAGGGCATATAATGGCTGGGACAAGGGAGATTTTTCTTCTTATATACATCAATACAGAGACCACAACTGAAGACATAAAATAAAATTCTTCTGTAAATAAAATGTTTTCTGCAGTACAGGGACTTATGTGGCATTGGACACCTTTATGTACACTATGGCTGATTCACAGAGTTTGGGAGTCCACAGGAATACGGCCCTAGACACATGCGGCATGCGGGATGGATATACTGGTATATGGTGGTAGTCTCACCCAGACAAGGTCAAGGGTCCAAGGCTAGCCCAGAGTCCATACGCCTTTCAACGAAAAAGAAAACAAGGTTTTAAGATTGGAAGGAAAATAACCATTGAAAAGCCTGTTCACTTTTCCCTGTGTTGTATTCTCCTTCTCTTCAGTCACCTCTCATGGGTCCATGGTGCCTTGTGGCCTGAGTGTACTGGACGTTGATGGTCTGATCCACTAAAGCTCCCTTCATATTCACAGGAGCTGTGTCTACGTTGCTCACTTTAGTGCCAACTTTCAGAGCATGTGAAAGAACAACCACACAAGACAGTTGTAACTATTGCACAGGCAGGAAAAGGACAAGAATGGAAGAAGTGTCACCAAAACTGTCATTTTATGGATGCCAATTTGGCACGGACCTTTGTCTCACTCACGAGACACCAGTGTTTTTCCATTCATTGTGTCATGGAACCCTCCAGACCCCTGTAGTGAGGGTGATAACCAAAAAAGACCCCAGAGGGAGAACATCCAGGTTTACAGCTGCAAGACAAAGCCACTGGCAACAGTGTCCTGACAGATGGACGCTTAAAGGCAAAACTGTCTTTCTGACTCCACAAGATCCCTGTTCCCACAGTCCCATTGTTCTCTGTGTCACCTTCAGAATCCTAGATCCAGCTCTTCAATCATCCGGATACTAAAAATTTGAGCAGAGTCTGAAGCCACAAGCTCTGAGTTCCCAGCATGAGAGATGTGTCCCAAGCCTTCCATTGCTTCAAATGCAGAAGTTAGGTTTCTCTATTTACTGCCGCCTCCTCTGGCAAAGACAAGGTCTGAATCTTCGGCCATAGACACAGCACTCTCCACATCTAGGGCACATATGTGTAGCAAAGGAGATGCTCTTGGGCCGCCTTATGGCCCTGAGTCTATCTACTTGCTCAGCACAGAGTTGGGTAAATCTCTCTGTGGAGACATAACCGAAGTCGTCATAGTACTCGAGAGGGGCAGGGTACTGTTCCACATTCATCTTGCTCCAGTTGGCTGTGTGCTGCAAAAGGTTCCTCAGGATGGGCATGGAGAAATCATTGCAATAGAAACTGACCTTGGCCAGCTGGGAGCACTTGCTGAGGGCAGGTATGAGCACAGCGAGATGAGAGTCCTTCATCTTACAACACTTCATGTCCAGGGACTGCAAAGTGTCTGCCACATTCTCTAGGAGGACTCGGAGAGGCGTAAGATCCAAAGCCTTTAAGCCCACACCTTTCATGTCCAGATGTTTCAGCTGGAAGAGCTTCGGACACTCAGAGAAGTAATTCAGGTCTGACTGTGAAATGTCACAGTAAGTGATGGACAGGGTCTCCATCGGGGTCATCAGGCACCTAGGGATAGACCAGTAGGTTACTTTCTGGGAAATGGTATTGGAGACTATGGGGTCTTTACACAGAGGTAGAAGAAACCCAGTTACCCAAGGTCAGTTTGACCAAATATCAAGGATGTTCTCTATGGTGCTTCCTGTTAGAATCTGCTCAGTCAAGACAAATCCACACTTCTTCTCCTGGCCTCACTCTTAAGCAGAAAGCCAGTTCAGCCCATAAGCCCAGAAAGCACACATAAAAAGTTCCAAGCCATGAAACACTTGCTGTGTGCTCACTGGACTCTGGATTCCATCAATGCTTTGCACAGTCACTATTGCTGTCATTTAACTCCACCCCCCACTATCCCCATTGTCCCATGCACTCAGCTCTACTTGGGCTCTAAACATTTCAGCCATGGGAAATTTGGGTTAGACTGAGCTATTCTCACTGATCTAAGCTCAGAGCTTCTGAGTAGCTACCATAGTAGAAGACTGGCAAAGCATGAAGCTCAGCTCTTGATTCCAGACAAATAAGTGCCTATTGTCAGGAAGAGGTTAACATTCTCCCCACCCTGCTGACTCCCACTCTGAACCAGGCTGCTCACAAATGCATAAACACAGCCAGAAGAATAGGCTCACATAGTTATCCTCCTAACAGGGAGGCTGAGGCAAAGGGGTCCCTGTGAACTGGAATTTTAAATCAACCTTACCTACAGAACAATGTTGTCAGAACACAATCCAAAACCAAGGACAACAAGAACACATAGAAGAATACATGGAGAAAGAAAGAAAGAAAGAAAGAAAGAAAGAAAGAAAGAAAGAAAGA